CGTTAGCAATGCTCTTCTTCCCAACATTTTAAAGCCTTACGAATATCAAGGTGTCTACTGGTCAACCAGATCGAATCGAGATCGCGGAAGTCTAGAATTCGTTCTCAAAAAAAAATGGAATAACGAGACTAAAACGTCCAATCTATTGGAAAAATCCAGCCGGCCAAAACACACTGTTTATTTACAAATTCAAAACACGTAGAATAAAAATCCATGCACTCTACTTGCTGAGAGCATGTTCCCTAGCCGTGCCGTAGTGGAAGTAGTGTGGCGCCAGTTCCATCAGCCAATCCGGTTGAATTGCACTCACTCCCGACACGCAAGTAGCGGTGGCGGTGGATGCTGTTGCTGGATTGTCGCTGAGAGGAGCAGAGAGGTGAACGCGGGTAAAAAGGATCCATTTCGGCCAGCGCGACGTCGAGGGAGCAGCATAAAGTATGCAGCTTGGATGGAGTCTCAACGCGTGGTCTCCTCGTACTGTCATATAGTGTGTGCCCGATGGAGCCAGATGGGCCACCTTGAAATACGCGTTATTTAAGTCCACATAAGCATTAACATCTTTATCATTATGCTAAATGACACTGCTATTTAATGTGTACTGCATAATGCCAATGAGAAATAAGTAGTACCTGCATGAAAAATCCACGCAGAAGAGCGCGAACGATAGGCAATGGATTCCCGGGCGGTTCAGCAGCCACACAGGGCATTTTGGAACGTTCAAGAACACCGAGAATCCGGTCACGCAGATAGAGAGCATGTTGCAGTGCGCGAGCGTTCAGCCCAGTTGACTGGCACCACCGCTGAAGCTCTGACTGATTCAGCGTGGACACCTGTTTCTCATAGGCGGCAAAGGCATTCAATTCAGTGAGATGGTCTCCGGACGTAGTCCCAAAAAGCATACGTCGACTGCGATCAGCCGTCCGTTTGTAATTTGCGCTGGAGACGAAGACATTCTGAAGCTATGAATATAAAAGAAACCCTACTCATGATATAGTAGTAAAGTCCATAACCTACACAACGCCACAAGGATGTAGTGCAGATGTTGCTTCAAATTCATTTTAATTACCTGCATAAGGGCAACAATAGCGGCCACCTCAATGGTGCAACCTTCCTCTACTGCGCCCAAAAGAGCGGCAGCAGCGGCGGGATGGCCGAGACCACAAGCAAAGCACAGGGCACTCAACTGAGCACCTCGTTCGGTCATTGGCATTCCTGTGGCCACGGTCAGCGCACCCAATGAGACGAGCTGTTCTGCCGCTTGTCCAAGGTGGCGAGCGGGAGGTCTCGGCGGCAGCCAATCAAAACGCGCCAGAGAATCCACACCCAGAGTCTTGAGACGAAGGAGAGAGGTAGCGAGGTCGCTACGTTGACTCTCCGGGGCTGTAAATCGTGGTAATATGTGGTGGTAGGCATCTTCGGTATAAAGACGGTAAACCTGAAAGTAATGGCTCAATTGAAGCCTAACAGCAAACACTGTGACTTGTAATGCAACATGAACTTTAGTCTCATTAATGTGAAGTGACGACTTGACTGTCCGTTTGAATGAGGAAAGCCAAGTTACCTCTCCCACCCGCACCCTCCCCGCCCGACCAGCCCTCTGGTTAGCTGAGGCCTTCGAGACGGGTAGAGTGACAAGGGCTTCAAGCGAGTTGTCTGCATTGTAAGCGCGCAGGCGTGCGTACCCACAGTCGATGACATAGCCGATCCGAGGCAGAGTGACACTGGCCTCCGCCACATTGGTTGCTACAACAACAGTGCGAACCGCATGTGTAGGACGCTCGAAAACGCGGAGCTGCTCATGCGCTGGGAGTCCACCGTAGAGAGGTAGGCTGCGTAGAGGGGGATAACGTTCACTACCTCCTCGTCCTTCTTTTTTCTGTTGCTGTCTTTGGATAAATTGCTCCTTACGATCGCGATACTCCTCTACCAGCTCACTTACCAATCGATTGACTTCATCTTGACCTATTTAGAAAACA